TACATCTACTCTCTAAAAATGAAATAGTCAAAATTCTACTATTTGAATTAGTAAAAGCATTTTTTACTAATAAAATAGTCGTTTTCACTTTTAAATAGTTATTTTTTACTATGTAAATAGTTAAAGTTTGACTAATTTAAGATTAGTCACCATATTTGACTATTTCTGACAGTTAAAAGTAACTAATTTCTTTAGTCGTTTACGGCCAACAACAAAGTATTATTTGAATTAAATGCATATACCTCTCCATGGTTAAATGACCCATAAAACAAATAAAGATGCAAAAAGTTTAGCTCAAAATAGCAAGACAAATAATATATTAAACTTTAAAATATTATGAACCATATTTATTGACAAATAAAATTAATTTTTATAAGAGCGGCTGACAGCCGAATGTGTTAAGACGTTAGCTTGACAAACTTGTCAAGTGACAGACCTGAGTTCAATCCCAGGCTGGGTCAAAACTTTTTTTAAATTTAAATTTACTAATTTGACTATTTCATTCAGTGGAATTTTACTAATTATTAGTGACTGCTTTTTCACTATGACAATTAGTCAAATATGACTTATAATTAGTTATTTTTGACTAATTCATTTTAAGAGAGTACTAAACAAATAATACGACAGGAATGTCTGTTACTACAAAAATAGCATGCTGTTACAAAAATAAATTTGAAAATATTTTTTAATTATCTTTGTTTTACAGGGTGTCCCAAAAATGACGTAGCAACTATTTGTTGAAAATGTCGACTTTCTAAGATCCAAATAAATAAAGAAATATGGTATTTTCAGGTATAATAAAAAAATAAATAATAACAAGCTCAATGTTATAATTAGAAAATATTTAAATAATTGTTCCTATTTATATGGATGGAAAACATATTTGACATTTAATTTACACATAATGAATGAATTGAAGGTTTTGGAACAGATCCAGTCATTAGCTGGCAAATTTTAAATTAGTGCATACCTTTAGTCACGAAATAATTAGTTTTGACGTTATTTTTGACCAGGTATTGTGAATTTTCCGACTAAAAATATAACACATTTATTAAATTGCCAACATTTTCGAATTAAATTTAAATGTTTTTAAATTATACCTACTAAGCTGCAATAAAAGACAATTACAATGTGTTTGTGTAAATTGCTTGATTGTTTATTTAAGAAGTAACATGTTTCTGTGGACCAAAGTAAAAGTTATTCTTACTTTTTATTACTTAAGTACCTAAAGAAGACAAATATAGATAAATATGTATAAGTAAAAGTAAAATTTTCTTTCGTTTTTACTAAAATTATATGACTCCCGACAAGTTATAGGTAAATTATAAATAGAAAAGCGTTAAAATTAATTAATTAGTTAATATTAATTAATTTAATTAAGGAGAAGATACAGAAAATGTTTAAATTATAAAAACGTGGTATTTAAATTGTAAGTAAAAGTTTTTAAAATATCATTAAAACCAGAAATGATGGAGCCCTAATATAATATTATTTATATCTAATTATACTATTTTTTCTACTCCCACCTTTAAAACGCCCATTATCATACATGTTTCCAAGACACTGTGACCTATTAAATACACATTGATAAGTTGTGGCTTTTTGGCGTTTTAGTCACAGGCTGAAGTTAGTTTTAAGTTAGTTGACAGTTGTCAAATGGCATACAATCGTACCCTTCTTGTAAAATAATACTAAATATAAAAATACAAAAGTACTAAACAGTTTGAAGACATTTGTTTCATATAAATGACTATTAATCACTACAAAAAATGTTAATTACTTAAGTTTCTATCAATAACCCTTCGCATAGTAAAATACTTTTTTTATTTTTTAATTAACCTTCGCGTTTTTAGGGCTAGAAACTGATTGGTGATAGCATTGTTTTAGAGGTTCGGAAGCCGACCCAACCTTAAAAAAATGGTGATAGGTTAAAAAATAAAACTTTAATTTTGTAGAACATTAATTGTTTTTTTCAATTTTATTGTATCAATAATATTTAAAAAGTTATATACTTTTTACGATTTATTTTTTATGATTTTTTAATTAACCGTAGGTAAACTCATATCTGTAAAAAAACTATAAGAGGTTGTTTACCTTTTTAGTAAATATTATGCAAAACTTTTTTTTTTAATGTACTTTTATTTAAGTAACTTTTTTTGGAAAAAGCAGGAAGACTACATAAAGGAGGATTAACTCTCGACCACAAAGCATAATATGGGTAGGAATCTAAATTTACCAATTAAATTTTAAGATAATTTTAGGTAATACTTAACATTGTGTATATTTTTGGAGATTTTAGTTTGGTTTTTAGGAATACTTTTTAGTATTTAATAGTGTAATTTTTATGTGGTTATTAGATTTAAGTAAAAATAGAAGATAAATAAATATAGTGGGTAGGGGAGACGATGGCAGAAGAGCAAAGTGCTCAAGTGCTCACATTTTTGTGATTCATCATTTTCAAGTCAATTAAATGATAAACTGTTACACGTTATATGGCTTGCCTCCACCTAGCAAGTTACTTCTACTTTATTTAATCTTCTTGGGAAAAGCTTGGATATTGCATTTCCAACATAAAGCATATTTGAGGTTATCTTTTCTTAAAAATAAGACTTAGTTAACTATTAAAGATATAAAAATTGCTTTTTAACAAATTTGTAGAAAAACTGCAAATTTGATTTTGAACTTTTTAACATATTAGGCATACTTAAATAATTTCTAGACCAAGAAAACTACTATACGAGCCCTAACCACATAATGTTCGGACACTTCATAATTTATATAGAAATTTTTTTCGTGAATACTATCTCAAAATTATTAGAAGTTATGAAAAATTCAGCTTATTTTGGCATATACCCCTCGAAGCGATTTTTATTTTTAAAAAGTTTACCTTTTATTTTTAGCTTTTAAAAAAAGGCTAACTTTTTAACTTTTTTTTGCATGCGTAAAAAAAGTTATAAATGGGCCCATTAAAAAGAACATAAAATATTATACAAACCCTGAAAATTTGGTAAAAATTGTATAAATAATAAGAAAGTTATAGCGATATATATATCTGCAAAATCTCCCGTTTCCTAAGAAAATTGCAAAAACTCTTTAAAAATAGCATTTTTAAATTACTTATACTTTTTTATAACTTATTTATTTTTTACCAAATTTTCAGGGTTTGTATAATATTTTATGCTCTTTTTAATGGGTCTATTTATAACTTTTTTTACTCATACAAAAAAAAGTTAAAAAGTTAGCCTTTTTTTAAAAGCTAAAAATAAAAGGTAAACTTTTTAAAAATAAAAATCGCTTCGAGGGGTATATGCCAAAATAAGCTGAATTTTTCCTAACTTCTAATAATTTTGAGATAGTATTCACGAAAAAAATTTCTGTATAAATTATGAAGTGTCCGAACATTATGTGGTTAGGGCTCGTATAAGCGACATTTTTATATGGAATTTAATGTTCCTAAATCGATCATATGAAAAAAAATTACTATACATATTGTATTTTGTATACTTAAGTAAGATCTAGATTTTAAGATAAAATAATTTATTCTACTTCCAATTATGAAATGTGCAAAATTGTGGTTAATTCAGGAATCGGTCGATCCACGTGTCCAGCAAAAAAAAATATATTTTATTTGGCAAAAGGATTTACCAAATTACACAATCATGTTAATATTTTGTATATGCCATACATGTACATTTCATAATTTATGTCGTTCTATTAATATGGGTTATATCAGTATCAGTTAAATTATTAAATGAAACTGAATATTTCTTTCTTTCGTTCCGTATTTAAGGGTAGTATGCCTTTATGATGGATGGAAGGATTTAAAAATCCAATATTTATAATTGGGTAGCAGATTGTTAAATAATTTTTGTGTAATCCGCCAGCTAATAAATTATTCGATAATAATATTTGTAATACTGTAATTTAAATTGGGGATTATGTATCATATGTATGTTAATTTCAAAATGTATTGTATACAAACAAGATTAAATTAATTTGGTGGTTTATTTACTTGATTCACATCATGTCAAATACGAAACAAGACTTATTGCAAGTTGCTAGCGGCGCTTGGAGTAAAAAATACTTAATATATTATATGTTGTGAAAGTGAACATAAGGGTTTTAATATTCGAATGGAAATCCCTAACTTGATAAATAGTTTTGTTTGTAGATATGTTACGGCTAATGTGCAAACTTGGATAGTTTCTAAACTAGCCAAACTGTCAGCTATTTTAATTGAAAATGTATTTTCAACTAAATTAGCGGCTAGTTTACAAAATAACCAAGGATCTTGGCTAATTTACTTAAAATTATTAGGGAAACTAAAATAGCTGGATAGTTCCATCCAATTCAATTTGGCTAATATAAAAACCAAAATTTCTAGTAACACAAAATAGCCAAGCTTTAGCTATTTTGTAAACTAACCAACTAATTCTCTGGCTAATTTATTAAAAAAGTGACACTTTTTAAATATTGGCGTTAAGAAAGTATTTCATACTTTTGTATTTGTTTTTTAAGATATTACAATAATTTTTACAAGAAGGGCACTTTATTTTAACGATTGTAAGACATTTGACATTTGAAAACTACTACTACCTTACAGCTAACTTCAGCCAGTGACTAAAAACCTGTTGCTATCTTTAGCCCGTGACTAAAACGCCACAAAGACATAGCTTGTTAATATGTATTTAAAAGACCACTGGATCATGGAAACATAATACTATATTGTTGATCTAGTCCAAAAACAAATTGTTATATCTTAAGCCTATTTTTGTTATTTTTCTTGTTATTTTAATTAGCTTACTTACGGTAAAAGTAGTAATGGACAACAGTTGGTACCTACACAGCAATATACTTACATTTGCCTAATAACAATAAATTTATCAAAGAGGTTGTCCAATATTGGTCATTGGTATGTAGGATTATAAGTATCACTGATGTAAATACTTAATATTTATTACATGATTAAAAATTACGTAATCATACATTTGTTAAGTGCATTATTATTGTCTTTTTACAATTTTTAACACCATTAATACTGTACTTAATATTATCTAAATATAACATTTTTAATCACCAGTCATCATCTCCATAAATTCTAAAAATAAAATAGATAAACACCTTTCACTTTACTATTTATTACCAATTGCCGTATTTAAAATTTAAAAACGATTGTTAAAATTTGATGGGCTTTTAACTTTAACCTGAATAAATCTTATCAAATAAGATATTTAAAAATTGAATTGGGCACCAAATCTTAAAAGTCGCTTCTCTTTTAACATAACAACTATATTTTTTACCATCAAAGTCGACAGTTCCAGAGCCATCTGTATCAATTTCTGATATTATACCATCTAGATCACTGCTGGTTAAATTGTCGTCTAAAGCAGCTAAAATTTCCTTCAAAGTTCCTGTTGTTATATACCCATTACCTTCTCTATCATACAATCTAAAAGTCATTTCGAGTATGTTATTTTAAATTTATTAGTGTTTTTCTGTTTTCATTATAGATTTGCAAGATTTTAAATAAGTATTTTTACTTTTGGCAAAATTTCAAAAAGTTCTCGAGTCATTGATAATTAATTGAATTAATATCTATCTAATAATAATCTATTATATTTTTATAAATATATTTTTTTCAAAATATTAGCTATAGCTTTTTTAAATCGTGAAGGAGTAGTATTATTAAAATACCTAATTTTTAATATTTCTTCAAAAATACTGCTGTAAATTTTATAGTATGTGTAAAAATCATATTTTTAGTAAAGAACAACAGAATTGTCAACATTCATATTAAATCGCAATATTTTGGTATGTGGTTTTTAAAAATATCTTTTTCATTTTTCTTATTTAAAAAAAAATGTGATGCTGTGAATTTTATTATAATTTCCACAATGTTCCAATATAAAAATAAGACTGATAGATTAAAAAAAATTGCACAATACGTAGGACCTGCTGTTTAACTTTTTTGATTGCAATCTTGCAGTAAAATACTATATTTATTTAAATAGTTATTTAGGCCCTAAGGCTGAGAAGTGAGTTTATTTGTGCTGATCTTAAAGTTACAGAGAGTTTAATTGGTCTACAATATTTTTCTTTCCACTATGATAAAGTCTTTTTACGGCTAGGATTGCAAAATACCTACAAATGGCAAGACACTTTTTCCAATAGAGAGCGCTGCAATAATATGTTGAATAAAAAATATTTGGTATTTTGGTTTAAACAAAAGCTATATTCTTTTTGAAGAAAAATCAGTATAAGAAAATCTAATTTTATCAAATAATAAATTAAATTTTAAATAATAATTACTATTAGATATAGATTTCTGCAGAAAGTATTGTTTCACCGTATCTAGGTGTTTGTTTTGTTGACAGATATGTAAGTCAAATCTTTGTGGTATAATAGTTATATGTTTATATGTATAAAGGGCATAATAAGGTATTTATGTTTCGTAACATAATACTAAAATAATACTAAATGTAAAAATGCACGTCGTACTTTGATTTCGCTGGCAGTAATATTATAATGACGATGGCATAAAAATACACTGCGCGTGAAAATTAACGCATAACAAGTAAAAAAAAATCCAACTCTAAAACGCCTTTACCAATCTATATAAAATTTTGGATAATAATACTTTAACTTATATCTCAGTTTTCGTGTTCAAGTTTTTTTCAAGAAAATATCCTTAAAGCCCTTTTATTTAATAATAAAAATGCTCGAAAAAAAACTTTTATAGGGATTTTTTTTAAGTAAATAAAATATATTCTGTGAAAGACCGTATTTTTGTTAGTATACCCTGAAAATTTTGTACAAATCAAACAAACAGTAACGAAAATACAGCGTTTCAAGCTCGTTAAAAATGACCACTTTTCAGCAAAATAATCAAAATCAATTTTTACCGACTTTGAAGCGATGTATCTTCGTTACTGTTTTAAGGGTATACTAACAAAAATACGGTCTTTAACAGCATATTTTTATTTAGTTAAAAAAAAATTCCCTAAAAGTTATTTTACAAACGTTTTTTAATATTAAATAAAAGGGCTTTAAAAATATTTTCTCGAAAAACCCTCCAACAAGTAAACTGAGATATAAGTTGAAGTATTTTTTTACAAAAATTCATAAAGGCGTTTTAGAGTTTTTTTTACTTATTATGCGTTAATTTTGATGCGCAGTGTATAAATATAATTAATGTGCAAGTAAAGTTTTGTTATATGATGGAATGTTTAAAAGATTACCGAAAATGTATTAAATGTCAAATTTTTTAATATTATTGGAAAATTGTTTAAAAAACTAGATATATGAAAACCAAAAATATCAAAATGAATGTCGTTTAGACGGTTCCAGTTGTAAAACTGTTTTGTTGAACTGTGATCCAGTGTCAATATGATCAATAAATAAACCAATAAAACAACAAATTTGCACGAGCTATTATAATAATTGTTGCAGTCATGTTCTGTAGGAACCTGTAAAAATGTTACTTTGCAAAGTTTGCACCCTAGGTGGTTAACCTAAAAAAATATCATTGAAGAAAGATAGTAAATTGTAGACCTAGCCGACAAAGTAACTTTTTTCAGGCTGAAAAAAGAACACATCTTGAAGCCTGGAAAAGTCACTTTACAGCCGTGGTTTACAATGTAAACTTTACGTGTTATTTTTCATTCTACAGATGACTGCAATATTTTTTACAATAACTCGTGCAAATGCGTAGCTGTTATAACACTTATAAGTGTTGACATTTGTTAAATATTACACTATCACAGTTAAAGAAATAGTACATTGTTAAACGATTGAGAAAGTGAGGATGAAATATTTTGACACGAGCCGAAGGCAGGTGGAGTAATTCGTCAAAATGGAAATGGCAACTTTTCAAGAGTTACTTTACTTTTTCTAATTTTATTAAAGAGTTAAGTACAATTTTGTAAAATTATTATAACCACAAATTCAATAACAAATGTCAGTGTTAATTAATTTTTAAATAATGAACCATCATAGCTATGGGCACCTCATTACTAGTAATGAGGTGCCCGTAAATAAAGACATAAATTTTCTCCACAGTTTAAGAGCCACTTTCTCAATTAAAAACGTTAAAAAAATGTACAAATTCTTTAATATGATTAAAAAAACAGTTTTACAAATTACACTACACATTTTGACTGACATTTGTCAACATTTCACAATCAGCTCAAAGCCACCCCTACAAACATTTATGCAGAAATCTACTTATGATAGTAAGCTAAAACAGCTAATTTATTATTAGCTAATATTAGATTTTACTAAGCAGATTATTTTACAGAAAGAATACAGCAAAAAATCTTTTTATTTGATTTTAATTTAACATATTATTTCAGCGCTCCCTATTGAAAAAAGTAAAAAAAGTACTGCCCAGGCATTTGTGATTATTTTCTTTTTCGCACCTATGAAGACGGTAAAATTCAACTTTATCATAGTGAAGAAAAATTTATTTTTAAAAGTATTATATTATTTGTATACATATTATCAATATTTTTGTGAAAACTTTTTAAGTTTTTAATGACATATTTAAAAATAGTAGATTATGTCATAAGGAGTAGAAGCGACTCTTTTTGTGGTGAGTACAGAGATTGACGGCCGAAGCGTAGCTGAGGCGGGCAACTGTACGAAGCACAAAAAGAGCTTCTACTCCAAATAACATATACAATTTTTTTTTCAAGGGCGTAATATAAATAGGATAAGCAATGGAATTATTTTATTTACTCTTAACTCATGTGGTATAAAATTTTGGCTAAAAGCATTAGAAATTATTGATAAAAACTAAAAAAACTTATAACCCTTACTTACAATGCCGATAAATATCCTAAACCAAAAATAAACCCTGCTCTGTCAAAATGCTGCGCTTGAATTAATTTTGACGTACTGACATTTGTTTGGTGTACCGACATTGGCAACTCGTCTATCATCATAATATTATACTAATAAACTAGTTGTTCTTTATTTCGTTCAATTAAAATTTAATAAATAATCACTAAATATTCCGTGCGATTATAATTAATATAATTAATACAACGTGATTGCTTTGTATGAAATGCTAAATTAATTTTATTATTTGACGTCTATTGAGACACCTATGGATTTACTTCTATCCCTAGGCTTTTTTGAGTTTTTTGTCTGCCGCTAATGAAAAAGACGCACTTCAACTATCTCTATACAGGCATATAAGGTTGTATATCATGGCCGCTTAAAAAAAAAGTATATTATAGACAAGGAGGATAAATTTATGAGCTTAAGATCATAGTATGGGTGGAACTAAAAGAGCACTTTTGTATATACTTTTGTATAGCCGAGCCTACAAGGCTCCATCCGAGGCAGTAGATTGTGTATGAGGCAATTAATTAGTATGCTGTAGTGTTTTTGTTTTGTCGCATCATTTTTAGGTTATGTTTAAAAAAAATGCTTAACTTTAGTACTGATATTTTGACTTTTAAACTAGAATTAATATTGAATATTTCTTTAGACTAATGAGTGTTGTGTTATGAAAATACGCTTACATTGTTTTGTTAAAACTGAAACATCTTTATAATATTGAATTACATTATGTTTAGAAAAAGTTTTATCAACAATAGCTAGGTATATTTTGTGAAATTGTGGAGACTCCCCAGTGGTACAAAAATTTAAAAAAATACCTGAAAGCTTCCTTTAATTCCTGTGTAGGGTCATCATCATCCTCCTCCAAAAAATGCGAAGCAATATCACAGAAACCATCAAAATCAACTTTTCCAGTTTTATCAGGATCATTTTGCGCTATTAAACTGTTCAATTCAGCTTCATCAAACAACTGACCAATCGTATTTAAAATTGTCGCTATTTTAATGGCTTCGATAAATCCTGATTTTGTTGTGTCGAACATTTGGAAAGCTTTTCGCATTACAGCGACTTTTTGGTCTTCGTCACTTGCGCCCTGAAAATGTACACTTTTATTTTTATATGAGATATTTGAAAGTCAATGTTTTACCATTGCACAAATGTATTTTCAGTATAGTGTATTAAAATGTTAATGAATCTAAGACTAATACGATAATTTTCAGCACTTTATTAAATATGAGTCCCCACTATTTTCTTATATTGCACAACTTATGTGCACATTGTGCCCAAATATTTTAAAATTATAATCGACTGTACACTAGGTTAATTGTTCAGCACTGAAATGTGTATTTTAAAATTAATCAATTTTTATAGGCCTCACAAAATTTATCTTAATAAGATATTTTTAGATTTAGAGTAAGTTTTTTTGTAACAAACTAACGGATACGTAGGAATTATAAGCATTTTAGTTAAAATTCATAAATAAAATATATTTGATTTCATGAGTTTTTTCCAAATCTTTCAATGGATTTAATAGTATATTCGAGGGGTAAACCACCCAAAGGGAAAACGTCCAGGGATTCCCCATGTATTCCCATTATATTTTATTGTATTCTTATGTATTTCCATTGTATTCCTATGGTATTCCCCCTCTAAAATGTCCAGGGATTCCCAGGTGTGGGTGACCCCTCGAGTATATTATGTATCAAGTTTGATAAACGCCATTTTATACACGAATTTAATTTAGGCACAAGTGAGCTTGCGAGCGAGTGCTTAAATTAATGAGTGAATAGAAAAGTTTATAAACGAGGTGCCTACTATACTTTTTCTACGACAAATACTTATTATTATCTTAAAATGATTTAAATCAAAAATTTGTATAGAGCGCCATCTATGAAACAATAGGGGAATCTGTGTGTCACCGTCAAATGTCAAATTTTTATATTTTATAAAGGTTATAAATCGAAATGTATTTCTTGAAAATTGACAGTTTTTCACAGTGAAAGTAAAGAAAATGTTTTATGAGCACTTTACAGTGGAGTCCGTGCCCGAATTTAAGTTATAGTTTACTGCCGTCGAAATTAAAAATCAGTACAATGTTCATATAAACTTTTCAAATATTGGCGTTGAGAAACTATTTAAAACTTTTGTATTTTTAATGAAATAATTTTCACATTTAGTATTATTTTACAAGAAAGGCAATTTATTTTAACGATTGAATGACATTTGACAATTGTCAACTAACTTAAAATAACTTCAGCCCGTGACTAAAAACCTATTGCTAACTTCAGCCCGTGACTAAAGCGCCATAAAGCCACAACTTGTCAATGTGTATGTGTAACATTTTTTCTACTCCAACCTTTAAAACGCCCATTATCGTACATGTTTACATGACTCTAAGTGACCTTTTAAATACACATTGACAAGGTGTGGCTTTATTGCATTTGAGTCGCAACAGGTTTTTAGTCATGAGCTAAAGTTAGTTTTAAGTTAGTTGACAGTTCGACCATTTCAAGCATTCGGACGGGACAGATCACAAAACTGTTTTTGTTAAAAAAAATTTAGGTAATTTATTATTTACTATTTTTGCATCAAAATTGTTAAATATATTTTTCTTCTAAAAATTGACTGGTGTGGACGGGGCATGATAAATCTTTTTTTTTGTCTCGTCCACACCTTTCAATTATTAAAATTATCTCTCCTTTTATAAATTATTTTTTGCGTTTTTTTTTAATTTAATGTATAGCCTAATATAAAAAGAATATTTTCGATAATTTTAATGTCAAAATATTATATAATAAATTATCTACAATTTTTTGTATGATTTTTGTTATTCCTGCGTTTTGCGCGCTTGAAATGTCATACAATCGATAAAATAATACTAATTGTAAAAATTGTTTTATTATCTCAATACAAAAATACAAAAGTTTTAAATATTTTCTCATCGCCAATATTTGAAAAGTTTATATGAACATCGTACTGACCGGCAGTAAACTAGATTTAACTTAATTTCGGGTGGAGTGCCAATAAAATATTTTCTTTACTTTTACTGTGAAAAACTGCTTCTATATCGGATTAAACGGTCCATTTTCGATTTACACATAAAAATTTACTATTTGACATAATAAAGATTCCCAATTGTTTACTCTATTGTTTTAAAGATTTCGTTCTATACAATTATTTAATTTAAATAATTTTTAGATAATATTAAGTATTTGTCCTAGAAAAATTATAATATGCAACTTTTCTAGACACGAATTTATTCATGCACTTGCTCGCAAGCTCGCTCGTGCCTAAATTAAATTCGTGTCTAAAATGACAACTATTAAACTTGATACATCCACTATTATGAACTTTCTTAGTCTCAGAATATTTCCTCATAATTTCTGAACACCCTGTAGATAAAATATTGTAGAGTAAAACTAAAAATGTATTGTTTTTATAATGATTTCATTTGTACCTTGAAATTTGGACAATTTAATTTAATTTAATTTTTCCTTGGATCTATATATCACTTCTAAGCTAATGCATTCTTCTGAAAATATCCCGAAAACATATGATTTACAAAATTGTGCACCTTTGTTTTTCTCGCCTCGAAATATCTCTTATTAACTTCTCATCTCGGTTTCCTCTGGTCTGTGATGTTATGCCAAATAAAAATTTCAATAAGAATTTGCTTTACGTGTCAGCATACCACGTGCGCCAGTTAATTAATAAATTCCCCAAATATTTTTATATTTATACAGGGTGATCCATAAGTATAAAGGTTTATAAAATTGAAATATTTTATTTCTACTTCTAATGAAAATAATATTATTAGGGTTTTTTCGTACATAATGGTAACCATTATAACCTCCCCGCTTAACAATGTGAATTATGAACTCATTATTCACGTTTTAGGGATCAGATTGCCTGATTTCAATATACACTGTGTTTGAACCAATCGATTTAAATTGGATAAAAGTAAAGTTGGAACTTTAACTCATCTAAGATTTTTTTGTTGTATATGAGGAGCGACTATAATGATATTTAAATCTACATCAAACATTGACAATCTGAGACTTTGTGGCATTTAAGTCACGGGCTGAAGTTAGCAACAGTGGCGTTTGAGCTTTTTAGTAACGTAATTTATTTTATTTCATACTGTACTTTAATGTGCCATTTCCCGGACTCATTTGAGTCCGGGAAATGATACATTACATCACTAGGCCGGTAAAGTAACTTTACCGGACTCGTATATTTTAACTAACACATGGTTATTTCTGAACGATTATAAGTTTTTGCGCCATTTACAGAATATCTCGTATTCCTTTTGATATCGTCCGGAAGACTTGATTGGGATAAGTTTCGCCGCCGCTTCAGAACTTTTTTTCAAAATCTCTGCATCCATTTTATTCGAAATTATTCAAAACCACAGATTCAAAACGATGCTGAACTGACAGACAAGACAATCAATAAAAAAAACTCTTTGTTACTGTTAGCAACCGATTTAAAGCATACTACATTATCACCCTATATTACTGGTGCTACATTTTATAGTTTGTTTAGACAATACTGATACCATACATTACTGACACCTTCACCTGGATATACAGTTCAATTTTTGAACCAAAAATTTGAAAAAAATATTGAATAGTATGAAATAAAACATTGTACGATACACAGCCGTGAAATGTCATTAAAGTACTTGTCTAGAAATTCCAGACTCGGCTCCTTCGTCGCCTCGTCCGTAAACATCTAGACTCGTACTTTAATAAGCCATTTCCCGGCCTTGTAACGTAAATTACTAATAAATTAGGAACAATAAGGTTAAAACCGACGAATGTCAGATTAAGAAAAAGTGACAGATATCAGGTTTCAAATCTTTAGCAAATATACGAGAGGCTATATCGCAGTAGATAATATATTATCTACTACGATAAGGTTTGCGTCTCGAGTCGCTAGACGAGAGACTTAAATCATCCGGGTGAATAATGCCCATAATTTCGAGTTTACTCCAATAAGTAGATAATTAAATGATTTCCAATAATATTTAAATAAAATCTGACATCTGTCAAATGGTTAACCTCACCTTTTACCAATTTTATATGTTATGTTTATCATTTATTACAAAAAAAACAATACCATGCAATAGTAATAGATAATAGTATATATTAAACAACTAATGTCATAAGACGTCATTTTGTCGCACGCGGATAATTTATTGTAATGGACGAGTGCGACAAAAGGTCTTATGACATGATAGTAGTAAGTACTAGAAAAATCATAAAAATATTATGCAAAATATTATGCTGTTTAAAGTATAGCCAACGTTTAAAATCAAAATTTTGGGTGGGATAAAGTATCTCATTAGAGCACCAAAAACGGTGTTATAATGAAGTCATTATGAACGCAAAATAGATAAAGTATAGTATTCAACTCGTTTTGTTAACTTTTTTTAGGCAATCGTTTTTATTAATTAAACACTCGCTCGTAAGCTTCGCTCGTGACTAAATTACCTTTTGTCAAACTTGATACATAATATACTATTAATTTAATTAACATTAAAGCATTACAATTTTATAGGAAGTTACAAATTTTTATTTATATATATTTTTTCTATTTTACTTTTTTATTATTTTAAGAAAAATTTCAAAAATTTAATCATAGAACAAAAAAAAAATGAGTTAGTTTTGATGCTATGAACATTGACAAATAAGTAGGTTTACAGGGTGTTGAAGTTTAACACAAATGTTAAAAATAAAATGCTTGTATAGTTTAATAAAATGTCGGTTAGTCATAAGAAATAAATGTACATAAAACTACATATTAAAAACATACAAAAACAAATATAATACTATAAAATACAAGGCGATTTATTAGAAATTACAAAAATATTCAGGGTAAGGATAAAAAAATAAGGATAAAAAAAACTTGTTTCCAGATGCTTTTTTAAATATATATAATTTATTATAATATCTGCAAGTGTACAAAAATAATGTTCAAGTGTTGAACTTAGATTTTATTTATTTATTTAAGTGGTGTCTCGGTGTAATCTTTGCTTTGCTTTTTAGAAGAAATATAACACGCCACTCCTCTATATTTATTTTAATATTTGGTCTGAATAAAATAATTAAAAATAAAACTTTTTGTATCTTTACTGTTTTTTTGTATCTCGCTTCGTTTTAGATAAAGCAATTTTAAATATATATTTTTTTATAAAAAAAACAGCTTTTCCTATGTTCATTCAAGAAATCATGTTTACCTCTGAAAATTTTGATTTTCACATACATATATATTTTATCTATAACTCAAGGATATTTTCCCTAATAAAAAACAACAAAATTTGTATTTAATTTTTATTTAAAATTTATTGTAATTTATTTAATATTTGTATTTGTTTTAAACCTAGTCTCCAGTCATCATCTCCATAAATTCTGTAAAGAAATAAAATTAATATTAATAAAATAGAACTCTTCTATTAATAAGCATTAATTAGAAATAAAAGTAAAATTTCTTAAATTAAATTAAAAAAACTTAACTTTCAAGAAACCGACAATTAGTACAGTTGTAAAAAGTATTTATTAATTAACAAAAAATTAAAGGTGTAAAATGTATTTAGACCGACAATTTTAGAGATTAATTAAAAAAAATTAGGTTAAATGATTACTAAATTTATTATTCATAATAATAATAATAATATTATTATTATTACTACTAATACTACTATTATTACTATTATTATTAGAGTAAATGAAATCCGAAAATTGATTTCTGGTCGTAGGGCTATGTTCTTATTTCACATCACATATAGAAAAAAAGAAAGCATACCATCAAAGTCAACTGTTCCAGAGCCATCTGTATCAATTTCTGCAATGATGCCATCAAGGTCTCTGCTGTTAAGGTTGTCATCAAGGGCAGCCAATATTTCTTTTAGAGTTCCTGTTGTTATGTAACCGTTACCCTCTCTATCATATAACCTAAAATATATTTTCATTAAAAAAATCTGTTTGTACATGAATGTGAACAGGTTTAAAAGAAGATAACCTTTATAGGAAACAAAAATATTGTGTCAAAATCGCAGTTTAAAGAAAAATAACGTTTTCTTCTGCTGAACTTCTATATACACAATAGTTTTAATTATTTCTTAAATAACATTTACCTAAAGGCTTCTTTGAGTTCTTGTGTTGGATCATCATCATCCTCCTCCAAGAAATGCGAAGCAATTTCGCAGAAACTGTCAAAATCCACTTTTCCAGACTTGTCTGGATCGTTTCTGGATATCAGACTGTTAAGTTCACTTTCATCGAAAAGCTGACCAATGGTATTTAAGATGGTCGCAATTTTGTGGGTTTCGATAAATCCGGATTTTGTTTGGTCGAACATCTGGAAAGCCTTTCGTAAGACTTTTGTCTTTTCATCTTCGTCAACCTAAATAAATAAGAATTAAATTTCTTTCTGACTACTGAACTAAAAAATGATATTATGAATGTACTACTCAATAAATAAATTTCATATTCACAAAATACAATAACAAATATTTTTAAAACACAATCACAAGTCACATAAATCAATCACATAAACCAATTACCATTTTGAAAGTGTCTGAATGCCGTTTACGTAATATGCAAAAATACAAATAAACGAACACTAAAAAATAGTTTTCCAATCACGCGTTATATAGTCTCCCCCACTTTTGCGCTGAAATTTGTAAAATTGTGTATTTTTAAAATTGTAATGGACTACATTATCAGTTGTTTCTCATGGATGTTGTTTAGCTTAATTACCCTATTTTTTGGGAGACTCCAAAATTATGTCAGTGTACAATTTATTTTTAGAAGTAATTATGTTTCACCGCTCTATTTTCATATTTCGCCAATGTGACACAAACTTTCGCGAAAAATTGTGCACTAATATTTATAGCTCATTTTAAAATACCTGTAGTATGCAGCATTGGAAACATGCTGTAAATTCGTTTTATTTTTGTAAATTTATTCTATTGTCTGGGCCACAGACTTGTTTTCTGGTCGGTCAATATTATAATCCTAGTTAATTAAGTAAGGTATTTGATTTTTCTGGTACTTAAAGTAATTGGCCAAATAATCATTATTTCCCAATGGATTTAATGGGTTTTTCATTATTTTGTAGTCTGACTTTTAACAAAAAACTATTGATTTAAAGAATATTCTTTGGCTGATACAAAAATTTTTAGGGGCGATTCGACAGCTCAAATATAAAAAAAATCCAAGGACAGTTAAAGAACAAAGAAATGGAATTGTTTAAAATCAGCCATTGCATTGCAATATACATTCCACTGCAGGAAATTCCGGTGTTTAGTTAGTTACATATATAATATATTTTTTGCAGTTAATTTAAAATTATTTTTCCAAATTAACTTTGTGTATTACCTTAATAATAATTTATGATATTAATATTTGCAGGTAGTAACATTTAAAACTTTACAATACTTTAATCTTAAAGTAATATTAAGGTATGCCTAGAGGTTAAAAGTCTTTTAATATAAGCACCTATAATATATTTTATTTTTATTTATTTACGTAAATTGAACACATCAACAATTACTTATAGTCTTAACGCGATATTAAGGTACGTCTAGTTGTTTAAAGTCTTTTTATTTTTTTAATACAAATTATTATTTATTTTCAGGAACAACATGGACATGGTTCCTATTGAGATTGAGCTTTTAAATGCTTTGAGTGTTTTGGATATACGGATTTTAATTTTAGTACTCAATCTAATCGACATCCTGATGACAATAGCAAATTTTTTCACCGACAACAGATTGGACAGATTGGATCCCAGAATTCACATGTAGTAAAATGTATTTTAAATAAAATGTATTAGAATAAATAAATGTAGAATATTAATAAAAGTTTTATTTAAACAATTTAAGATATTAAGGATGTCAAATTAAGCTAGATACAACTCTTTGGTATGCCATATTAAGCAGTACTTTGTGGAAAAAATTTTTCAGGACATTTATACATGTGGCAATAATATCTGGAAATACTGAAATTTTTTCCAAGATGCTAAATTTTGGTACATGCACTACAGTTTTTACAACTTGCAGACCGATATGGGGACCCAAATAAAATAGGGGGGTCATGGAGCATCACCTCATTTAATTTTTTAAGTATCGATATATGGTATTTTGGATTTATTTTATGAGTTTAAATTTTTTGTAAATATTTAAAATATCCAAAACCAACCGTTTTTAAGAATTATGAAATTTTCATTTTGCATTATGAAGGTGAGTGTCATACAATTTGTAATTAATAATAACTTAAGAATCAAAGTCTTTAAGTACAGTTAAAGAACAAAGTAATGGAATTGTTTAAAATCAGCCATTGCATTGCAATATACATTCCACTGCAGGAAATTCCGGTGTTTAGTTAGTTACATATATAATATATTTTTTGCAATTAATTTAAAATTATTTTTCCAAATTAACTTTGTGTACTACCTTAATAATAATTTATGATATTAATATTTGCAGGTAGTAACATTTAAAACTTTACAATACTTTAATCTTAAAGTAATATTAAGGTATGTCTAGAGGTTAAAAGTCTTTTAATATAAGCACCTATAATATATTTTATTTTTATTTATTTACGTAAATTGAACACATCAACAATTACTTATAGTCTTAACGCGATATTAAGGTACGTCTAGTTGTTTAAAGTCTTTTTATTTTTTTAATACAAATTATTATTTATTTTCAGGAACAACATGGACATGGTTCCTATTGAGATTGAGCTTTTAAATGCTTTGAGTGTTTTGGATATACGGATTTTAATTTTAGTACTCAATCTAATCGACATCCTGATGACAATAGCAAATTTTTTCACCGACAACAGATTGGACAGATTGGATCCCAGAATTCACATGTAGTAAAATGTATTTTAAATATAATGTATTAGAATAAATAAATGTAGAATATTAAAAAAAGTTTTATTTAAACAATTTAACAGTTTCCAAGATATTAAGGATGTCAAATTAAGCTAGATACAACTCTTTGGTATGCCATATTAAGCAGTACTTTGTGGAGAAATTTTTTCAGGACATTTATACATGTGGCAATAATATCTGGAAATACTGAAATTTTTTCCAAGATGCTAAATTTTGGTACATGCACTACAGTTTTTACAACTTGCAGACCGATATGGGGACCCATAGAGCATCACCTCATTTAATTTTTTAAGTATCGATATATGGTATTTTGGATTTATTTTATGAGTTTAAATTTTTTGTAAATGTTTAAAATATCCAAAACCAACTGTTTTTAAGAATAATGAAATTTAGTTAAAGAACAAAGTAATGGAATTGTTTAAAATCAGCCATTGCATTGCAATATACATTCCACTGCAGGAAATTCCGGTGTTTAGTTTAGTTTTATTTATATAATATATTTTTTGCAGTTAATTTAAAATTATTTTTCCAAATTAACTTTGTGTACTCCCTGAATAATAATTTATGATTTTAAAATTTGCAGGTAGTAACATTTAAAACTTTACAATACTTTAATCTTAAAGTAATATTAAGGTATGTCTAGAGGTTAAAAGTCTTTTAATATAAGCACCTATAATATATTTTATTTTTATTTATTTACGTAAATTGATCACATCAACAATTACTTATAATTACTATAGTCTTAACGCGATATTAAGGTACGTCTACACCTTTTCCAGTTGATATTCAGAAAGTAGCAATTGATATTCAGAAAGCAGCAATTGATTTTCAGATATTGCAAATGAAATTCAGAAAATAGCAAATGTTATTCAGATATTTCAAATGATATTCAGAAAGTAGCTGATGTAATTCAGATATTGCAAATGATATTCAGACAGTAGCAATTGATATTCAAAAATTACAAATAGTATTCAGACAGTAACAATTGTAATTCAGAATATGTCAATTGAAATTCAGAAATTAACAAATGATAACATTTTCATACTTCATTTTACTTATTTTCTAAAATCTCAATTTAATGTATTTCTTTGTATACATATATGTATATTGCTTTGTTTCCATGGAATTGACAATAGTAAACAAATTTATCACCATTTAAGTAGGTATATTTGTCATAATTGTCAACTTATTGCAAGTAAGGACCGAATTTTCTTCATTTGTACTTTATATAAATTTCATTTATTTAGTTAATAAAGATAACGTGTACTTTCATTCATCATCGATTTACTGTATGCAATCCACTGTTCCTGAAAAATTTGCTGCTGCTGAATTACATTTGATTTAATCTGAAAAACATTTGCTACTTTCTGAATTACAATTGCAAGTTTCTGAAAATCAATTGAGTTATCTGAATTACAATTGCTACTTTCTTAAAATCAATTGTGTTATCTGAATTACATATGCTACTCTCTTAAAATCAATTGGAATAGCTGAATTACAATTCCTACTATCTGAATATCAACTGGAATAACTGAATTACAATTCCTACTTTCTGAATATCAACTGGAAAAGGTGTAGTTGTTTAAAGTCTTTTTATTTTTTTGATACAAATTATTTTTTATTTTCAGGAACAACATGGAAATGTTTCGTAATGACTTCTTAAATACTGTGGTTCCCTATTTGATTGTTTTTGATACATGGATTACAATTTTAATACAAAATCTACTTGACATCCTGATGACAATGGCAGTTTTTTTCACCGTCAACAGATTGGACAGATTGGATCCCAGAATTCACATGTAGTAAAATATATTTTAAATATTATGTATTGGAATAAATAAATGTAGAATAATTTTAAAAAAATAGTTTTATTTAAACAATTTAACAGTTTAACATTTTCTGTTAGTATCTGTAAGTTTAACACTTTTTAGCATGCAAACATTTAAGGCGCGTGTTTTGATGGCATATTTAAAATAAAAAAATTAAGTAAGATATTAAGGATGTCAAATTAAGCTAGATACAACTCTTTGGTATGCCATATTAAGCAGTACTTTGTGGAGAAATTTTTCAAGGACATTTATACATGTGGCAATAAAATCTGGAAATACTGAAATTTTTTCCAAGATGCTAAATTTTGGTACATGCACTACAGTTTTTACAACTTGCAGACCGATATGGGGACCCAAATAAAATAGGGGGTCACGGAGCATCACCTCATTTGATTTTTTAAGTATCGATATATGGTATTTTGGTTTCATTTTATGAGTTTAAATTTTTTGTAAATGTTTAGAATATTCAAAACCAACCGTTTTTAAGAATAATGAAATTTTTCGTTTTGCGTTATGAAGGTGAGTGTCATACAATTTTTAATTAATAATAACTTAAGATTCAAAGTCTTTAAGTACAGTTAAAGAACAAAGTAATGGAATTGTTTAAAATCAGCCATTGAATTGCAATATACAATCCACTGCAGGAAATTCCGGTGTTTAGTTAGTTACATACACTGAGAGAAAAATTGAATTTGTAATTTACCATAAGTAGTAGTAAAAACAGTTTAGTTATTGATACCCTGATATTGCTCTAAGAAATACCTAAAAAAATGTAAATTATAAAACTACAAAACGGTGACATGCGAAGTAGTTCTGTATGACAGTGTCGTGGTAAAACACACCCACGCTGTTGTCAAAATCCGAGAAAATCTGAATAGTCGAATATTTGTCAA